ACACACACATAGATTTTTCCAATCTTTTAAAAAAGTTTTTATGTTTTTTAGTTATACATGACAGTAGTCTATTTTGACATATTTATACAAACATGGACTTTATCTTATTCTTATTAGGATCCCAGACTTGTGGATGTACACAATGTTGAGATTCACTGTGATGTATTCACATAAGTACATAGGAAAGTTAGGCCAGATTCATTCCACTGTCTTTCCTATTCCTATCCCTTTGCATCTATTCTTGAAGGATATTTTTGCTTTGTATGGAATTCCTGGTGACAGATTCTCCCTCCCCTGTCCTCAGGGCTTCATAGTTTTCATTCCATTGTGGCTGGCTTCTATTTTTTGGAATGAAAAGTCAGCTATTCTGTCATTCTCCTTTGAGTATCAAATTTGGAGATTTATTTTGGTCATTATTTCTGCTTTTATTTTTTTCCTAATTCTTTCCTCTTGTGAGTTCAGTTGTATGTTTGTTGGATCATCTGATATGTCCCATAGGTCCTTTTGACTCTGGTAACATTTTTTTTTTTTTAATATTTTTCTAGTTGTTGATGGACTTAATTTTATGTGGTGCTGCTGAGGATCGAACCTAGTGCCTTATGCTTGCTAGGCAAGCACGCTTCCACTGAGCCACAACCCTAGCCCCTGGCTCTGGTAACTTTAGCGTGGTTAATTTCGGTTGATTTTTCTCTTCACCTTCATTGGTCTTCTGTTGTCCCCAGTCTGCTATTAGTTCTCTGTATTGAGTGTTCTATTTTAGGTATTAGACTTTCCATTTCTAGAGCCTCCATATAAAATTTTCCATTGCAAGTATTCCTCCTCATATTCCCTCACTGCAATAAAGACTGTCTCTGAGCAACTTCCTAAGAGCTACTTGAAGTTTCTCTGCTAATTCCAACATATGGGTTATTTTGGAATCCATTCCTGTTAATGCCTTTATCTTTTTACTGTGATTCCATTCCTCCTACGGTTTCAGCCCCCAATTCCCAGCCACTCTGGCAGCTCTACACTCTCCTCTGACCCCTCTGCCGAACAAACTGTCTCTTTGCATGTGCAGTCACACTGTGTGGGAGTGAGATCTCACCTAGTTTGGTACCTTTCTGATTGCTCTCATATAATGTGGTCTGATATGGGGTGCTTCAGCATTACTGGAACTCCTAAGGTTTTTTTCTTTTTTCTGAGACATAGTTACTCAAAGAAAATTGAGTTTAACTGAACATCATAAACACATCTGGTATTCAGATAAAATCATCATTTGTTATTTTCGGTGTCCAGGACAGATAGGCTCACTTTATTGAGGGTATTTATACCTTCTAATAGGAGTTACG